ACAATAAAACCATTTCCTACCAGGAACAACCACACGGGGCAGTCATGCATTATTTGTGTTGTAAACAATGCTGTGCATAAATCAGATGTAATCAAAGGTTCCAGGTATGCTGCGAGCTGGCAAGTTGACCCTGTTAATGTCACAACTTCCTGGTTCGGACTTGCGGAAAATGCGTACGTAGTATTTAAGTTTAGATAATGTTAAGGTGTAGTAGGTTTTTTAAAAGGATAAAGGAAAATTAAACCTAGTTTCAAGTGAGGATTAATATAATTAGCTTTTTGTGTTTAATTGACATGTTTTTCTCATCGTGCGACCTCCCAAATCGACATCTATAAGCAGCCAACTGTTTCAGGTCACGAGATTGGATGAACATTTATTTGACAGGACGAATATTCTATTCATTATGCATTTTTCATAAGTAATACATTTTGAGATAAGTACAGTGTTTCATCACTAAATACATGCTGCTGAACATTACATATTTTCTCTCTTATTACTTTGTGGAGGTCATGAACAGAAAATACACAAAAACCCAATATGTGGCTCTCGGCCCACGTTTATTCTTTGTGCGTTTGCAAGTAATATATCGGTCGGTTGTATTTAACTTCTGATGGAAAGAGCCTGTCGGTTGTGAGCTGTACTGCTTCCAGGTGCATGATGCATGCCACTGGGGGAAAATCAAGCAGTTTCCAAATACGGAGGCAATGCCCGGGATCACTCCAGATCATGCCCATAATATGTAGGGCCAATGTCGGATTTAATTCTTGATCGCCACAACGTTACTGCAACACTACCAAAACCAGGAATATTACATGCGAGTTGATATATACAAAAACGTCGAAGCCAGAGAATAACCTTTTCGATAGAATGACGAAAGAGATTCAATTGCGGGTAAAAGGCAAAACAAGGTCGCTTCTGTCACCCCTCCCTGACCCTGTGGGCGAGTTCATCCATTTCCTGGAATAGATGTAAGGCCTTCAGTGACCTTTGTGTTAACACAAAGCGGCATTAGGAGCAGGCCATGGGTAAAAGGAGAGGTACACATTGTGTACATTACTTTCCTGCCAGATACCGATTCAATGTATTACCGTCAAATCGACATTACGTAACTCGACATTGACAACACTTTGTTACCTTTAACTATATTGACCACGTCCGTACAAAAGTCAATATACCTGTTCCTCAAGTTTATTGTTATGCCTGTAAATAAACAAGACAATCAAGTGATCTTTAGATCAGAAATTCCTGTGGGACGATAAAACATTTACTGCTTTTGTTAAAATTGAATTTATATACACACATATTACATTAATACAGCGCCCATTGATACATATAAACATATATATTGTTATATGGCAGTGTAATTTATTGTTAAACAATGTTGTCATTTTAACATACTGTTTCTGTTCAGATTCCGTAGAAGTTTTCAGGAATGTGTTTCGACAATAATTCCTAGGATTGTCTTACTATCAAATGTAAGCAGTGGTTTGGACGTTTCTATATTTTGATTCTTTTAAAGTTAATCTGGAATCTTCTAGAACAGTTATAGAATAATCCAGCATGGCATGAGGCTGTCTGGAAGGGATTTAAGATTTAAGAGAGATAGTCTCTTTTCGCTTCTCTCATCTCATCGCTTGCCCCGTTTCTGCGTTGTTTGCGTTTCTGGGTAAAACATAATTCACGTATAACAACATCATATGTAGTAAACAAACAGGAGGAAGCGCCTTATCATTATACGATTAACCTCCATTTGCTGCCTTTCTGTTGATGCCAGGGCCAAGAAGAGCGCATCTTCCCGAGGCAAGGGGGTTAACTGACTATAAAAGTCCAGTTGTTTCCACCCTTGCCAAACTAGACTGGAATTTCTGGGCTCTATCGTAGCGCCACCAGTGGTTATTACGAGTTGTGTCCCTTCTATGCCTCTCAGTAGTTGGGTACGCTACTCTGGAACCGGGCACTTCGCATGCACCATCTTATCCCTGAGCGCGTGCCAAATGTCAACATCCGTTTCCTGCCACCCCTACAACAAGTCACCTACAGCCCATGCATACTGGTACCATTTATGCTAAAATGGACCAGCTCCAAAACGGACATTTTTTCCAGTCACAACGGACGAGTGGAATATCACATTGATAATCACGGCCATATTATAATTATACCCAGTACTGCACATATCCTTCCTGATACCAAAAGTGACTTATAAGACAACAGGGGAAATGCCTTAATGGTAATACATAAGAGTCATTAAGAACTCGGTTTCAGTTTTTTAGTACTCTTTATAACAAAGTGAGAAATTGTGAATAGACTTCCATAAATGTAAACCAGAATCCGCTATTTTATTTCTGTATGTCAGGGAGCCTGCATCGCTGCTTGCAACTACATCATTGATTTTCCTGCTGATACCACTGCTACAGTATTTTATACCACCACTGGAATTTACAACCATTGAATTTTGTTCTGGCACTCTATTGTGTACAGCTTTGTATTTAATTGTAATTACTATACAGTAATGTGTGTTCCTTGTAAACCTAGTTAATTTTGTAAAACAATTGTTCATTGTATAACATTTATCTCAATTGCTGGTTTCACAATGAACTCTTCTGCTTTAAAATTTTTGGTCAACCTTTCGTTTCTATTTGGAAGTCGATAAGTGACACTTTCAACCGTCCGGTTAAGTGGGGTTTCACTGTATTGCATATCCATGTCTGCAGACGGCTTGCCAAGAGAAACACGATCAGAATCGTGGCCCATGGTTTCGTCTTTGTTGAAGTCAGCAGAGTGGTAATTCTGTCGCTTGAAATGAATGCTACCATCGTTCGCAAAACTCCTATACGTGACATACTTCAACTTTACCCGCACCCATAATAAAACATTCGTTATCAGACATTCGTCATATATATCCGGCAGAGACAAAGCTCATGGATTATGAAGACGAAAAAGCTCTTCTCTTCGCTCTATTGGCCTGTCAGAAATGCGTGCAGACGCATAGTTGCTTATGAATAGAACTTATCTTGCCTAATACAGCACAGCTGTTGGTTGTTTTTTAACACCGCACTCATCAATATTCCAGCCATATGACGACGGTTTGTAAATAATCGAGCCTGGACAAGACAATCCAGTGATTGATAAAATGAGCATCGATCCACGCAATTTGGATACAGATACATGTATCAACAAAGTCAGCGAGCCTTACCACCCGATCCCGTTGGTCGCCTCTCACTCATTCAGTGGTCATGATCATTGCATGTGAACATTCCCTTCTAAGTGTTGACACACAAAATGTAACACCATCACAAAATCAATAGGTTATGCAATAAATATAGAAATGTATCCATGCTGTGTAACTCATTATATTCAAATGTGGCCTTAAGTCTTCCTGGTACACTTCCTGGTAGCTCACGACCACCACTGTAAACACCGACCTTCTGTGAAGTGGAAAAGGGTTCTTTGTGAAACTGGTGTGCAACAACCTGTCGCTCCAGCATATTGAATTGTAACAACTCCGCCCAATACGCTTCTAACATCAGAGGTGAGGTGAAATGGCGTCCAAGATGACTGCCCTTATATAGCGACGTGCATGCACGTGTGTGTGTGTGTGTGTGTGTGTGTGTGTGTGTGTGTGTGTATGAAACCGAGACTGCTTCATGACATGAAAGACAGACACAGATGTTGACCGCAGTTATAGCCAAGTTTATTGCTGATAAATTAAACCCTGAAACAATTGTAAAACATTCATGAGACAAAACATAAATATATGCTGCCATCAAATCCGCAAATCGCAGCAGGATTACTACCAACAGATACATTTTGTTATTGCAGAGTAAATTACAACAATTCAAAAATATAATAGTAAAACCCTGATTCCTTCATACATTATACATTCATACATTTCACATTCATATATACCAATATGTATTCTAGCAACACATGTATTTCACATCAGCTTCACAGTACTTGACGATTTAGTTTAATAATGATATGTTATGCCTAAACTTTGCGCTTGGTGAATTATTTACTTTACGTAAATAGTAACACTTGTAATGCATACAGAAACACAACAAGTTACCGTGATGCATCCAGACCCGTTAAGATCCGGGGTAGAATAGGTCTTCAGCAACCATGCTTGCCGTAAAAGGTGACTATGCTTGTCGTAAAAGGTGACTAACGGGATCGGGTGGTCATGCTCGCTGACTTGGTTGATACATGTCATTGATCCCGATTGCGTGGATCGATGCTCATTATATTAATCTCTGGCTTGTCTGGTCCAGATTATTTATAGACCGCCGTCATATAGCTGGAATATTGCTGATTGCAGCGTTAAACAACAAACCAACCAACCAACCGTGATGCATCAAATATTGACAACATGACAAAATAGCCACATGATCAACATAATAAACACAATATACCTACAAATCCTAGGAATGCGTACAAACTATAGAATGTCAACAACAGACTAACCTTTAGAAATGAATGAATCACAAGACTTGTCCAATTGTGAATACCACATTGTCCAACACTGTCAAATACTATATGTGTGATCGTCTGGTAGTAACATCAAATGTGATATAAACTGTAATATAACTAAACCCTTTAAACTGGACTGTCAAATACTATATGTGTGATCGTCTGGTTGTAACATCAAATGTGATATAAACTGTAATATAACTAAACCCTTTAAACGGGAGACAGTAAGCTGCAACGTTGAACACAAAGGAGCAGTAAGGGGCGCTCCTGGGCTCGCTATTTTGTGACAGTGCACTGGGTGATTTAGGCTACACCATCAAAACAACATCCAAATACAGTGTACCAATCACATCATTCACTTAATTTTACTTAATCATATTCCAGCAAAAACAGGATATACAAGAAATAAAGTTAGCGTGACCAGCGGTCGACGAGAGGGGGTTGTTTATCGCACAATGAAACCAGTCAAAGGTTCCAGGTATGTCGGGAGCATGCAAGTCGACCCCAGTAACGTCACGACTCCCTGGTTCAGGAGTTCTGGATCGCGACTGTTCAGTTGACGGGAAAGAGGTGAGTGGTGAAGGATGGCGATGAAGCTGGTACTTTGTGGTTTTCTCTTAAGTCTTCTCCAGTTCCACGGCGTTGATGGACTTGCGGAAAATGCGTAAGTGGTAATCAAGTTTAGATAATGTTGAAATGAAGTAGGTTTTTTTAAAGAGTATAGGACACTTTAACTTAATTTCAAGTGTTTGAGTGTTTGTTATCTCTTCGTGTTAAACTGGCATGTTTATCTCATTGAGTGACCTCACAAAATCGATCTTGATGGAGCAGCCAACGTTTTTCAGGTGACGAGATCGGATGAACAGTTCATGCCAAGACGAATAATCTATTTATTATGTCTTTTTCTAACTCATCTGATCATTGACGCATACTGAACATAGTTCCAGCATAAAATGTTATTTAACTCGCATGAGTAGTCAGTTGAACATTTTGAGATAACAGCAGTGTTTCATCCCGAAATACATACTGCTGACAGGCTGCTTCTGTCAGCCCTCACACTTCTGTGGGCGCGTTCACCCGTTTCCTTGAATACACGTAAGGCCGTCAGTGGGCTTTGTGTTGACACACTGCGGCATTATGAGTAGACCCTGGGTGAATGCAGAGGAACACCTTGTATAAAATGAAGGGTTGCGTTACCTTCGTGCCAGATACCGATTCAATGTATTACCGTCAAATCTTCATGTACGTATCCCGACATTAACAACACTTTGTTGCCTTTAACAGATTGACCACGTCCGTACAAAAGTCAATATTCCTGTTCTATAACTATATTATTTGAAAACTGACGTTTGATCAAGCTTTTCTTGTACGTTCGTATGTATGTGTATCCAGTGGAGTGTCTTGCGTGTGTGTGTACGTTTCGTGTGTCTGAAATGTTATAACATGTTTCGAATTGACCGTGTTTTGTGTCTCAAACTGAAAGGCCATAGCCCCATGGTTCAACGTATTTACAAGGTATGGGTGTTTCTTCTTACTAACAATGCATGATGTATGTACAATGCAATATTTTGTCATAAAGTAATATTTGAAGTTGAAATGAGTATGCAAAACAAATTAATATTTGGGTAAGTTATAAACTTCTTTGGAATATACTTGTTTCTTAATTGACGATAGCGTTTACACACAAGCATACAATGATACTCATTTTCTACAACATTAAGGTTACAAGATGTACAGATATTTTCAGATTTTCTAAATATACTTTTATAGATCTTTAAATCATAATATCCTGCTCTGAACTGCGCTAGCGATACTCGATTTTTTTTTATTGTAACATATATAAGATATTCTTCGAGTATAAATTGTTGTTTGAAGAGAAAATAGGTATATGTACATTTGCTATTTCTTAGTTTTTCTATCCACATTTGCTGAAAACAATCTTTAGCTCTTTGGAGTAATAATGACATAAACATCTTGACATTTCCAACACCCTGATCCATCCATGCGTATCCAAGGCCTAAACTGAAAAGGGTGATTTTGATATATGTTGTCCAATTTTTTTTATTGCGTGAGTGACTGGCATTTTGATCAAGATAGAACAGCATGTTATAGGCCTTTATTTGGTATCGCGTGGATGGCAGAGTCGTTTGTTTTAACCAATAATTTATACAGCGCTTAAGCGAAAATATTTACAATGGATATCTGCCACATTCCCCAAGTACAATACCATTTGGGGTGGAGGATCGAACCCCAATTAAACGTTTACACGCATAAAGATGAACTGTTTCTATACACTCATATTTTCTATGGGCAAATTTTAGGCTGTTAAGAAATAAAGTAATCGACTATGTCCGTACGACAAAGAAGGCACATGCATGTAAAATTGATACTGTAATAAATAGTTCTCATGGTACAAAGACTTGGTGGCGTTTAGTAAAGGAATTTCTTAAAATTAAAACTGCAAAACACAACTTTCCCCCAATTATATTTGGGGAAAGTTTGTATGATAATTCCATTGATATTGCTAATATTCTCAATAACTTCTTTTTGGACCAATCTCGCATATGTAATCCTGTTATGCGCCTTCCACCCAAAGAATTAGATAAAGTTGAAAATCCATTAGTAAATATAATTTTGAAGGAAGATGAAGTTAGGGATATACTACTGTCCGTGGACACCACAAAGGCAACTGGCCCTGATGTTATTGGAAATAAAGTACTTAAAAACACAGCTTACAGTTTAGCCCCAATCCTTACTAAACAATTCAATTTCTCTCTTAAACGAGCAATATTTCCATCACTGTTGAAAGAAGCCCTTATCATTCCTATTCATAAGAAGAATAGCGTGAATGAATGTTCGACTCTTTATTACAGTATAAAGGCCAAAGGCCCATAATACATGCTTGATTTTATTAACATGTACTGCGCTTACGCTAATATAAAGGCAGATGTACAATCATATGCAAGAAAGTGTGGTACATGTTTCAAATGTTGCCAACAGTTGTTTAACATTGAACATTATGTTTAAATGAACTATAAATATCACTCTTCCTTTAAGAATGCAATTCTGTGTTTATAAACTTTATGTAAATACTGACAAGTATAATGAATAACATTATAATTATCTGATGACATAATACTTATAAACGCCTGTAATGAGGCTGATCTAAAGTGCTTAACAATGTACATACTTCTTAAGGTATCATACTGTTTACACACATGTAATACATGATGTTCATCATCAATAGATGAAATACCTTCCTTGAGACAAAAAGGGCACAATCGCATTAAGTATTCAATAATATTATAACGTCCCGTTTCTATTGCAAGTCCATAATAACCACATCTAAATCTTGACATGGCTGTCCTGATAGATAAAGGTAGGTTATAGGATAGATACGATTTAACATTGAGTAATGACTTAAACTGCCTATAATAATATGTCTTTGAAGAACTACCTAGTTCTGCAACCCATTTTTGATGGAGATTATCAAACAATCTCTGCTTTTATGTTGAAATAAATGTATCAATATGACCCACATCCTGTGCAACCCAAACAAATCCAAATCCAAATTGAAACAGAATATGTTTTATATGTGTGACCCAATTTACTCTTCCACTCTCATCCTGTGAAAACATCATGCTATAACATTGAAATGGTAATCTATTGTCATTTAAATTAATAAGTTTAGTCCAATATTTAACTGCTCTTGTCATATAAATATACTGAGGAGGAATTGTTTCACATTCCCCTAGAACCATATTATTTGTAGTACTTTTACCAACTTTAAGTATCCATTTACATAACTTTATCTGTACAATTTCAACTCTCCTACAGTAATTCACACCCCATATCTCTGCACCATAACAAAGAATGGGTACAACTGTAGCATCAAATATTTTAAACAAATCTTTACATGATAAATTACAAAATTTCCTGGAATATGTATAAATAGCCAACACAGCCTTTTGTGCTGAGGCGGTAAGTGAAAGATGTGCCTTACTCCAAACAAGTTTGGGCGTAAAAACCAGACCCAGATATCTATATGACGATACAACGTCAATCTGTTTTCCCATAAAATACCACTTCTCATATGCACGCAAAGGGCCTCCATTACGAAAAACCATTATCTTTATTTTATTCAAATTAACTTTCATACCCGTTACATCACAAAAGTGTTCCAAGGCATATATCTTTTTTTGTAACTGTAAACACTAATTTGCCAAAGATGAAACATCGTCAGCAAACATCAAAACAAACATCTCTTTAAAGGAAGGTGAAACATAGACACCCCTGCCACCAGTTTCTTGCATGAAGTACATTAACTTTTTTTATTAAAATAATTAAAAAAATGCGGGCTTAAGGTACATCTCTGCCTCGTACCAATGTTACACCTAAAATAATTTGAGAAACCACCAGAGAGTCTTACACAAGCACTTAAATTTGAATACATTGAAACTATTATCTTAAAAAAATGTGCCACTAACTCCTACTTCATTTAAGCTTTTTAACAAAACGTCATGTTTAATCGAATCAAAAGCCTTTGAAAAGTCTATAATTAAACAATAACATCATCCATTTTTCCTATGGGCATATTTTTTGGCAATAGATTGCAAACAGAAAATACTATCAATAGTGGAGCGATTAGCTCTGAAGTCAGACTGTGCTTCATTAATGACATTATGTTCGTCACACCAAAGCTGCAGTCTGGAGTTAAGAGTAGAGCAAAAAACTTTACAAATATTATATCTATCAAGGAGATTCCACGGTAATTAGCAATACAGTGTTTATCTCCTGACTTAAATAAAGGACACATTATACTTTTTCCCCATTCTTTAGAGAATTCACCATTATCAAATATGTTGTTAAACAATAAGACCAACACAGGTAGAATATAATCTGATGATGCTTTCAGAAATTCAGCAGCAAGGCCATCAGGACCAGGGGATTTATTTAATCCCAACTTATCAATGAAACAAAACTTCCATCATAGCTATAGGGCCATTTAGGTTAAATATAGATGCCTCTTCTACCTCCGTATTACATATGAATGAATGTACAAATTACAGACTGGTTGCGCTCACACGTTGTTTAGCAAAGATATTTGAAAAATGTATATTTAAACATGTGTACAACTATTTAAGGAATAATAATGTGCTCACTAACCTACAATCTGGATTCACGCAGGGAGACTCCACCTCAAATGAGTTGACATATTAATATGACTTTATTGCAAAGGCTTTGGATGAAGGTAACGAAGTTAGAGCTGTATTTTGTGACGTAAGTAAAGCTTTTGATAAAGTTTGGCACAAAGGAATTATTTATAAGCTACACCATTATGGTATTTGTGTAATTTTATTAAGATGGTTTGATAGTAACTTGGAAAATCGATATCAAAAGGTAGTTATAAATGGCTATAGCTCAGATCCAAAAGCTGTCTTGGCAGGTGTGCCACAGGGCTCGGTCCTAGGACCATTATTGTTTATTATCTAAAACAATGACATTGTTGAAGGAATAAATAGTAATATAAGACTTCTTGCTGATGACACATCTTTGTATGTGATCATAGAAGATCCTGATATAGCGGCTCGTGATCTCAATAAAGACTTGGACAGAATTTCAGAATGGGCTGCCAGATGGCAAGTTAAATTTAGTCCCGAAAAA